CCGCCTCCACCACCACTTCCAGGTGAGGGGCCCGGGCTGCCCGCCGCGAGGGCCGGCCACGCGGGGCGCGTCTCCTGCGGGGCGGGTACCCGCCCCAGGGCCGGGAGCGCAGTGTGGGGCCGGGGCTATGCGTGAAACACCCTGTCCCGCCCGCAGTACGTGTACTTCAGGATGGGGCTCCAGCAGAAGGAGATGGTGAAGGCCTGTCTTTTCCGAATGCCCTTTGCCGAGCTCAGGAACCGGCACATCTTCCTGGAGCGCCGGGGGCTCTACCGGACCCCGTACAAAGGCCAGACCCAAACCAGTAACCCGAAACTGAAGGACATCCTTCAGCTCCCAGAAAAAGACTTCCTGGCCAGCCTGGCCCACGCCACCCCAGAGGAGTACGAGGTCTTCAAGAAGCTGCTGGCTCGAGAGGAGGAGGAAGCAGAGGAGGAGGAGGAAGAAGAGGACAGGGATGCACTATACGCAGAGGAAAATGAAGACTTGGACAGTGAAGGAAGTAAAACAGCCCGGGAGTGAAGAGGTGAGGCTCCAAGGTACCCGAGCTCTCCCCATGCTGGCGCAGTCCCTGGCCCCACTGTACTCATGGGTGCCCTGGGCCCCCACCCCACACAGGCATGAGCTGTGGTGGCTGCAGGATCTGCTGTCTTTCTGGCTGCAGGGCTTCATGTGCAGGGCCCTGCTGAGGGGCAGCAATAAATCCCATATATCAGAATACAACAATAACCCTCTTTCCTCCTCATTGACCAACTACTTTAAAAAATATCCAGTTTCCATGAAGTGTTTTTATTTAAAAAAAAAAAAATCAAACCAAAATAACTAATTTATTTCCAAGGCTAGGTTAAAACCTTCTGGCTGCATTACATATTGTGCTGGCTGTGGGGCAGGAGGAGGCAGGCTGCTGTGCCAGCTCACAGCAGGGCCATGCTGTGAGCATGGACAGGCCCTGTGGCAGCGCTGGCGGGACCCAGGGGCTGTGCTGAAACGGGACTGTCCCGGGGCGGGGCCGCCTCCACCTTCACAGCCCATGTCGGCGCTGGTCTTGTGGCTGACAAGGCAGGGATGTAGCACTTTCTGACCACAGCTCCAAAACCTCCCCTCCCTTGTGGATAGCAGAGGCTCTTCTGGCTTTCCCCTTGCCCTGCTCTTCCAGGCAAGGGTTGGCTTCTTCTCATGCCCTGGGGAGGCAGGACTTCTGTGCTTGCCTTGCAGCAGGGAGGCTAGAGCAGGATCAGGCAGCCTTGGAAGAAAATGAGGCATGTCCATCTCTGACTCGATTCTCCTCTGGGAGCAGAGCTAGAGTCAGTGCAGGAGGGGAGCATCACATTGTCCCTGCTGCTCCCAGGCTGCTGCCAGATGCCTTGGCAGCCGCTCCTCCAGGCTGAGTGCTCTTACACTGCTGCCAGGAGGGAGAGGGTGGTGCCAGGAGTGCCGAAACTCATGGGCCTGTTCCACTTCGAGAGCATCTTCTGGGCTGCAGCTCAACACGCGTGGCTGAACAGCAAAGTGCCCTGCAGTGTTCGTGGGAGGGGAGGGCTGCCCCACCAGGATACCCCCCACGCTGCTCGGGAGATAACACTCTATACCAAAACTACGATATATCTCTGGTATGTATTAATTTATAATATACACTGTGTACATTAATACACAAATCTATGTTTAACTAGTGTTGTCATACAAACTCACAAAAACTAGGAACATTTCTAAGCTACGCTTTTTCCTTGATTGCTCTGCCACAGCTGGTGGGATGGCCACTGCAGGGCCTTGCACGCTGGTCCTCTCCTCCGCAAACAACACAGTGGTGGCATCACAGCACCGGCTGGTGCCATGAGGAACGCAAACGCTGTGAGCAGCTCAGGGGGATGGTACGTGGAGCTTGCTTCGTCACCAAGCCCATACTGTGCCCTGCGCTTGGAGGCAATTAGCATCAGAACAAGCATGGTGTTATACCTTGGCTGACAAACTTCACCCTACAGATCACTTTTAAAATTCTTTCTAGGTGCTCTATTGCTTTCTGAGCTGGAAATGTGGTTAAAACCAGGGATTGTTTACAACACAAAGAAAAAAGGCAGGCAGTAGAAGCTGCCTCAATTTCCCCCGCTAAAGCGGAGGAGACCGGGACATGCCTCCAGTGCCCGCGCTCACCTTGCTGCTTGGGGGAGCTGCTCACCATTTCTAACTTGTCTACATAGGGATGGACTCCTCCAACTAGATTTTCATGGGCCACATTTCAGGTGATAGCTAAGGCTTTTTGGTCTGCATTAAACTGTTTTATTTGGGGGTTATAGGTAATTTATAACCTTGGATTATGAAAACAGGTTGGTGCAGATGCTGTTGGCAGGAAGCTGGGATCAGCCCCGCTGATGCCTGAGCAGAGCCGGGAGCCCGTGGCTCATGCAGAGCGGCTCGGGGGCCGAGTGGTCCTGGTCCCCTTGAGGGGCAGCCAGCCAGCCACTGCAGTACACTGGCGCTTGGCTCCTTGGGGGCAGAGAGGTGACCGGAGTAAGGCAAGCCAGAGTGAAGGCAGTGCTGGTCCGGCGGAGGGAAGGGAGCGCTGCTCGGCCTGCCGATCCAGCTGCGTGTCCTGAACGGGCTGGAGGAGAGGGAGGGGCTGACGCCAGGCAGAAAGGTTCCCCCGCTGTGTTCAACCCAGTGAGCAGATCTGATCTTCCTGGTGTTTCAAAAGCCCTTAGATGTGGAAAGATGAAGCTTCTACTGCTTTGAACCCTGTGAAGGAGCAGGAGGAGAATGAGCCAGTGTGCAGAGTCCCCTAAAAGCCCCGTGGCTGCCTCTTCCCACCCTGTGTGCCTGTCTCAGGCTGGGAGAAGGGGACCTGCCCCCTCCAGGGCTGCAGCCTTTGCCTTGCGTAGGCTGGCAGCACCCAGGCCCTTTCTGTGCAGGAATCTTGTTCATGGGGCTGCAGAGCCACAGGGGAGCAGAGCATTGCCTTCTGCTCCTCCACCCCAGCCACAACTAGAAGTCCTCAGCTGCGTGCCCAAGCCCGACCAGCGCAGCAGCTGGAGAGCCCTCGCACCCCCTAGACATGGTAGTGTGAGGCTGGGCTGGGCTGTGGCTTCTAC